AATCTGGAAAACACATTGATACTGAAAACGCTATGAAGAAGATTAGGCTCAACTTGAAAAACCGACTAAGTCATCCAACTTACATTTATTTTGATCCTGAAATAGCAATTTGTTCGTTCCCTTCATTTTGTGAAAGGAAACCTCTGTGGTTTTATTTTCTCCCTTAATATGAAATGAAAGAGTGAAAGGAATAAAGTGGCTCGAAATGTGGATGTAGATGATTCCTTTTGGCAACAGTTATTCCAATGACAAGTCGCATTCCTGTTTTCTTTTCACTCAGCCACATATTTTACCTTGATCGCAGGGCTTACTTCTAAATGCAGGGCGCTTAAGACAAATCTTCTTGGGTATGGATCCTACGAGCAGAAAATATTGAATATAGTATGGTAGGAGCGTGCTATCCACATACTGATTTGTGAAATGGAGGTTGTATTTAATTAAGCAAGCACACCCCATAGACTTCTTGATAACAAATAATCGTCTTCTTTGTTCACATTCACATGGTGGACCTCTCCAAAATTTCAAGTGACCATCTCTGTCTGAAAGCACCCACTCTATGACTTCCGATTATATTTTCAGACTGCAGAAATTCATTGGTGAGTTCAGCCGTTCCACCGCTAATGAAAGCAAACGCAATGGGAATATCCCTGAAGAATATATCGATGGTTACACTTTCATAAGGGAAGCTATCATCATTTGTCGCGTACAATCCGTAAACACCGACAAAATCAAAATAACTGCCAGCACACTTCAGTTTGTCCGCTGTAGAAAAGAAAAACTACTTCACATCTCTATCCTAAGTGTGATAGAATGATAACTGCCTAAGAAATGGATGAAACTACACTCAACGAAGAGCCTTTGGTTATAGTTTGAGTAAGTAAAGTCAGTAAAATTAAACGCAGCTGTGCTAGATATTAGTAACAGCCATCCAATTCGCTTTTCGTCAACCTTCTGGTCCAAGCGCTGTTGTTACCAAGCAGATAATTTCAGAGGTGACTGTGAGCCATAAACCGCCAAGCTACAATCCAAAAGTCGTTTCCAAACTTTGTGAGCAAAGTTGCTGAACAGTAGTTTAACGTGGATAATTTATAAAATTCATTTCAACTTCAGTGCTCATTACTGACTTGCTCCGAGGTGAGATTTCCCGAAGTTCCAATGAGAAGTCATAACTGGTGTGGCTTACCAAGTCGAACCTGATGACAAGTACTCAGCGATGGCACTCAAATAGAGTCACGCTATATTACTAAATGACAGAAGTGGGAAAATGTGCAGCATCGGATTCCGACCCAGTGGCTCAGTGCTTACGTGTTGATAACAGAATCTGAAGGTTCTGCAGTCAACACCTGCTGGAGCCATGGATGGGCACTGCTGAGGAGTCTTTCGCTAGGATGAAACAGCTCTCCGGTGATCCCAGGTTCTCTAACTGATCTCATTTCGGCATGAATACCAAATACCAAATATATGCTGAAAACAGGTGGAACTGATCTGCTTCATCTTAAATCAATTACAAATCGGCATCCAGTAGTCTTCTAAAGCACGAACTTTATATGATGTCTTCGGTCACCTTGTAAATGTGAACCTCGCTCGAAATAATGCGCATAAGTTCGTTCTTCATATTCTGTGACTGCGTTTCTTTTACAGAGGTTTCAGTGACAAGTGTGGTGAGACAAAAAAGCTCCATATATATGGATTTATTTCAGTTTGCAAACATTTAAATGCTATTGCCACTCGTGACTGAAATTAGATAGCTCCACACCAATTTGTGCTGCTTTATACAACTTTTCACTTTCGTGTTACCAACCAGGTTCCTGATTCTTCATCAATTTTGAATGGACGATAAACTGGTAAGGTGGTGGGAGGGAGGAGATGCAAAATTCCATGCAAAAATTCCTTTCTTATACCCACTTAATTAGACTACCATGCAGCAAATGTAAATGTTGCTTAGCTATCAGTTTGAAATACTTAAGGCTTAAATCCTGTAGTTGTGCATACTGACTACAAAATCGTTGATGAGTTCATTTTGTGAGAATTTTTGTATTCAATCACATAAAAAGAAGTCAATGTTGTGGTAATCCTTACAAATTTGATTAAAAGCATTATCTAACTGATGGTAGTGTACGATATCATCCAAAAGGTGGTCATAATTTCCAAAAACGTTTATGCAGTCACATTTTACATAAAAATGTGAGCAATAAGAAGTGAAATCCTACTACTCCATACCGATAAAAAGCATAAATATTTCTCAGCAGTAAAGTGTGACTAATAGTAAGTTACTATGATACATTGAATTTATGATACAATCCCTAGATAAACTATTTTATGACATCAAAGGTAGTTTGTGGTCAAGTTTTATACACCCTCTTCAAACAGTTTATTATCGAAGAGCTCATGAAGAGATATTATCGTTGGTTATGGTAGCGTATCGATAAATCGTCGGTAAGATGGAGTAGTAAACTATCAACGAAGATAGGTATAAATTATTGAGCAGTAGTCTGAGCACTATATAGTGAGGGCATTATTTAAAGAGTATCAGTTGCATGGGATTGTAAAAGACAGTAAAACTGATTTGACGTTTTATTTTAAATATGGATTGCCAGATAATTGAAATTATTTGGAAACGTTGAACTAAAATGTACTCAGGCTTGATTTCACTCTCACTATAAATGTCCAGATGTTTTAGCGTTAAAATAGGAAATCCTATTTTTGGCAGATATGTGAGAAAATATTTCTTATCTCACTGAAAGCTGCATAATATAATTCACTCAAAATCCACTCTGTCTATCTAAATAACATCTTTTTCACCGATTTAGTAAAAGAATGGGACTATAAAATTATATTTGCCTTTTGTTTTGACACAGATACTTACATGTTGGGACACATTACATGCTTACTCTGTCACTTGGCTTTTCGCCTCTTAGTGGCAGATTTAAAGGCTCTGGTACTTAGCTAGTTATGATGTATCTGAGATTCATCAGAAGTAGTAAGACTGCGTGAATTAGATTGAAAACAATATTTACTGTCAAATTAAAGAGCTTGGTGACGAACATGCAAACCCATCAAATTTTGCAATCCTGAAAAGTAATCTTTCATCATATGGCTGAAGGCCATGATCTCTGTGGTTGATAGTCAGCTTAACCTCGCAGAACAGGCAGCTGTAACGTTGAGTGGCACACTCTGAAAACCAGTTGACCTGTACAAAGACAGCTTTCAGTTGCTCAACATCCAGCTCAAACCTGAACAATACAAAATCCCAGTTTCTCAACTCACTCTAGTTGAGAAATCTACTTCAAATCTAAAAAGATGCAAAGTGGCAAAATTCGAACAATTTATCGATAAGAGCTTTCAAAAATGCAGGTAGATGTTACTGAGTATGATAACTAGTGGATCAGAAGGAGAGTTGCCCCTGTCAAACTAGTTTAAATAATTAGTCATTCCAGTTTATAGGAAAAGAGTGAAGTATTCCCGTGATAACCATAGCAGAATCGCTTTGATTGATACCGTTTTTAAGATCATGGGGTTCATAATCACCTAGCACTTATATGGAGTTCAATAATTACAAAACCAAAAGTACCATGCAGGTTTTAAACTGAACAATAGTGGATTTATTAGATTTTCACCTTCGACAGGTTTCGGAATACAGGCATGTTTACTAACACCTGATAGCTGCTACCAGGTGAAGATGATGATGAAAAAGACTCTTCTGTACACTTTCAGCAAAAATCTGAGGGTGTTAGGCAATCCTTCGGTCTCTGACAAATGTGAGATGATGTTCCGGGACTGGTTTGTATTGAATTCTAGCATAAGAATAGCGAGTGAGATAGTCAAATGCATTCTTAACTTCAGTTACTTAGAAAGTTGCATCAGCCTGAATATATTGATGACTCATGGGATCGTAGCTTGAATCCAAAAGTCCCGTCTGGTGTTTATTTATGGTATCGGTAAGAAATTCGACTAAAATTTAAGGGAAGTGATGGTTATGAGTAAAAGATATCAAGAGGACAGGGAGTTAGTTGATCACGTGTATCAGAGGAATCTTGCTCGTGCATGTTGAAAGCACTATATGAACAATGTCGACGTTTAGTGAAGCGTTCTAAGTAAAGAAGATAATTCATTAAATGAAGTCAAAAACCGTCACAGACTATGACGGCTTGAATGTGTGTTGCGTATGCTGAACCACTTTGTAACTGGACTGGGGATTTTAAGTAAAGTAGGATTGTTTTGCAAAAGTTTAAGGATGGACAGGCTAAAACGGAGTACCAGATTATGAAGCTTTTGACTGTCGATCTGAGATAGGTAAAGAGATATAAGCTGTCTGACTGGGATCTTCAAGACAGTATGAACAAATGGGTGATATAGATCACAATAGGTCACAATGGTGCAAATGAATACACTCTTTATCATCCTTGAGGCAATGGACATTTTTTGCAACCTCTATTGACGAAATCTCATCTCTAATTCAGTTTTGTCCATTTCAGTATCATTACTTTTCGTTCTAGTTCTTTGTAGTCTTCCGTACAGTATGGCAAATCGAAGTGCAGCAATTCAATGTTTATTTCTACGTTGACTTATCGGTCGATGAGATCAGTCATTCAGTTACACAGTAGAGCACTTAAACACAATACTGATAACTACCTGTTGTATGTGGCTCTCAATCTTCACCTATATACTCTGGGAAAGTGAAGCGAAAACAAAATGATTTTAGAAAATATTAATCAACGTTTTATTATTCATTTATAGGTATTTGAAATACAACTAATCTTCATATGTACAACTGGATTGAATATCGAGGTCAGTTTGTCGAGATGAAACTGAATAATAGTATACATATGCTTACGTATATGTATATGTAACCAGTTATTTTTTGACAATTAGTTCTGTGAATAGTGGAAGATATTAAAGTTCCTGTGAATTCTGAGAAGGTAGATTATCTAACCAGACTATTTACTAATTTCTGCTGTGGAATATTTTATTTTGAAAGCTTTCATAGCAAAATACATTTATCAACGTGACACTGAATCATTATTTCTTAAACAGCTTGTTGTAGAACCGATGAAAATGGCTGGGTCTAAAAAGAAACAGGAAAAAAAACGAGAACCAATAAAATCAAGTAGATGTATTTGCCGAGAGAGAAGTATGGGATTGATTTCTTCAAAGCAAAATAGGCCTCCACAAATTCGTAGAGAACGACTTATGTTTTACCAGAACTTTTCATCATGTTTAATGCAGAAATACCCGAATAAACATGTAGTATTCACCAAGGTTGAGTTAATATGTTTGGTTTTTGAGTGTAACACAACAAATTGAATTGTTAGCAATCGCTATCCGTTCAAGTAATAAATACGAAGTCAGATGTTAAAGTGTAACATCAGGAAATACAGGTACAACATTTGTACATATTTGAATGGTCACAACAGGCAAAATCGAAGTTATGGCTTAATCATTTATGTGTCAATTTGGAGTTCTGGACTACATGCATGAAATATTACGGAAAAACAATTCAGAAGATTTCATTTTCAACAAACTTTTAGTGACTTTGTGTTGTGTTGACCTACTAACCATAATCACCTCGTGACTCTATGGATAATTTTTGATGATTTCGTATTGACCTATTAGCCACTGTTGTGACTTCAAAAACGAATGTAAAGCTTCTGAAAATGATTCGTCCAGAAGAAAATTCTCTTCTGGGTGATAAGAAGAAATTACAAATCCTACAGCTGAAATCAAACTTACTTATTTTTACTGAGCAGGTATCACCGTACATTTCAGGAGTTTGAAATAATAAGGTTGAATAGGCTCTTGCCAACAAATTAGAATTTGTAATTGACTTAGTTATTATTGATGGTCTTGAACTGTAAGGACGCCATAATTTCTTGTGTTTGCGAAGCCGATCTTTAGATGCATCAATAGGTGGCAGAGGAAAACTGGTCTGTGCGAAACGAAAATAACAAACTGAAATCAATTTTTAATATTAAAGTGGGGAGCTCTTTCCCAATGGGTAAGTTTTATTAATGAAATATAATCTAGGGTTTCTCTATAGGAAAGAAGCAGTACCTCTACTAGTTTATTTAACAAGCATTTAATGGTAATGTGACACCTAAATAAAAAAACTAGCCTTTTTAATAGAAATTTCCAAAATGACCGGCTATAAAAAGTATAATATATTCGTTATCACTCTGGAGAATGCACAACACTTTGACTGAGTCATTTTTCCTTCTTTTCTACAGATTTTTAAAAATGGATCAATGATTTTTAATCAATTACAAGCTTGCGTAACCCCTTAGTTTTTTAGGAACCCGAAGTTTTAACGCGCCGGTATTGTTCTGCTTTCTTACAGCATCTATCTAATACTAATGCTTTTTCAACGCGTGCATAAAATAGAAGTCTTCTTGTTGTAATTACAGTATAAAGATGTGTCAACTGGTGATATGAAAATCCAAAGAAGCTAAATGAAATATGCAGATATAAAGTATTTGTAGGTAATGGACATTCTTATTTACTTAATGAATCAGTAACCTGACGTTAATACTGACATATGACAACGTGAAAAATACTCGACCTAGTCTTCAAGAAAATGGGTTTATTATTGTAGCTAATGACGGTTGTGGAACTGCAATACCCATAATTGTCCAATTCATGTGGTTAAGAGACAAACATACAATAATTTTGTTGAATGTTTATCATTCATATTTTAAAAGTTAGGAAACGGTTTAATCATGCATGCTTTCTGTGGTGAAGCCTATCTGACAAAACATGATAGATGGAGTAATTTTGTCCGGAAAAACATCGGATATCTGTTTTCGCGAAATTTTATCGATTGATATGTACAGTGGTTACCATCAGCATCTTACTTAGTACAAAAGTAGATATTGAAAGTTAAGTAGTACCCTCTATCTGATTATTTTCTTCCATCAAGTATCGAAGATTTAGGAATAAAGTCAAGGCTCATCGCAGGGTTTGATGTAGTTGAAAGTCTGGTCTGACAATATCAATGATCACATGTGTTATTTCTTCAAGTAAATGGAAGTACTATGGGGAATCAGTAGGCATTAGTCATTGCATTGCCTTTATGCTAATTCAGAAAAAATTTGGGATCCAGAAAGAAACATATACATTCAATTTTAATACACCTTTCATGAAACTGTTTTTTAAGTTGACTTCAAAGTTATTTTAATGCCAGTCAATCTGACTGAGCCATTTAGTCATAATTTACTCTTCCTTGAGCAGAGTAAGCGAAGTCCATTACCATTAATGCCTTCTTGGAATAAGTGACATTTGTAGGTAAGCGTGTTAAATAAGAATGATAGCGAAATTTCTTCTTTTTCATCATGTGACTTTACTAATCAATTCCATGTATATATTTAAAATCGGAACTTCTGATATCATTATTTTAGTGATAACCTACTGATTGGCGTTATGATAACCGGTATCACAAAAATATCAGTGTTCATTGTATGATTGTTGGTTATTTGGTTTAGGAAAGTGAATACAAGCATGAAGATGGAAACAAACAGGACACCCATAGTGTGGTCTTTATCTATCACACCAAAATTCCCAGAATCAACTTCGACCAGCTAACATATGGGTTCATTTGTATAAACATACTTTTTATGAGCACAGCTACATTATTTTATAGGAATGCTTAATAAGGCAGTCAGTATTTTGCGAATACAGGATGAAGTATATGTGGATCTCTGTAAACGTCTCATTTCAAATATTTCAACTTAAGATTCTTCTGTTGAAAGACTTGGAAGATTATTGATGACAGATAATATACAAACAGTTCACTCCAGCTTCATTTATGAGTTAAAAAATAAGAAAAATCCCTGTATACGATGAACTACTGCACAAATCCATATATCACACATAAAAAACATTGTTCTACAATAAATGTCCAGGTATTAGTAAGCTATATTCAATTAAAACAAGCAACTGCTTGGAGCAGTTTACAGATTTCAATGTGTGAATGAACACAACCTGAGGACCCATTAACAATGCGTAATGAAAACTTTATTAAAAAGGATATTACCTACCTGCTTAGGAGAACTCTGATTATGATGAGTTGATGATTTTGATGTAGTTCTGTGAATATGCAGAAGTGTATTTACAGAGCTGTTGTTATTTTGTTGGGCAACTAAATTCCCACCATTACCTTTGTGTAGAAATGGTGTATGCTGTCCAGTCTGCCTGCTTTGTTGAGTCAATCCAAATCCAGTCTTATGAATTACTGAGAAATTAGTTTTTGGGCTTGATATGCTTAATCCTGTAGCTAAGGGATTGAATGAAGCGAGAGATATCGCAGTTGTGTTGATTGTAGAGTTAACTGTAGGATTTAATAATGGTGGTAGTATGAAATTGCGAGAAACTGTGCTATCATTTACAGTATTGGTCGTTATTGTCGAGAACGTCTGATTTATACCATTTGTATTAGGATTAGAAACATTCTGAACAATTGTTGTTGCTGCTGATGGAGATGGTGGTGGTGGTGTGTTTCCAGTTGTTACAGAAGATGAAAGTTGACTAACATTTACATTACGATATCTTGATAAACTGGATGTGTATGTTGAGCGAAGAGAAGACTCTGTATTTGCAAACAGTGTTGGCATAATAGCTGTTGTGACGATAATCTGCTCTTCTAATGTGGAAGAATAATGAGATGGCAAAGGTGTACGTATTCTATCCAATGGAGCAAGTCTTCCATTATGATGCAGGTTAGCTGCTATGCCAATAACACCCACCCCACTTGTCCCACTATGATTAGGTACTTCTGTCATAGAACTGTTAAATGTGAGTAAGGACTTACGTGAGATATTTGTCGAAGATTTACAGTGCGAACTAGATATGGGTCGGGTAACAGAGCTAGTTCCAACAGGTTGTGGACTTACACGTGACACTAATGTTGTAATTGTTGTCATAGTTATGGATGATGAATGTGAAGTACTTACAGCAGCTTGTGGATGGTTACTTATTGAATCTATCAAACAATTACTTCCAGTGTATTGTATACGGTTAGAATTATCGGTTGCTTCACTGAAGATAAATAGATGAAATAAATAAACCAGGGCAATTCAAGCATTTTTAGAGATGAGATCATATCAACATGAAGTGGTTATTTCGCGAAAAGAATTAGGATAAAACTACGTTACTATCAACAAATATGGTACCCGCTTTACTACCGATTAAAACAAACAATAATTTAACTGCAGAATGTGAAAATACTGTATAAGGCGATATCTTTCCAAACACTTAATTCTAAAGCCAAAAATAAAATCAATGTACTTCAGTTCTTTTGTACATTAAGCTTACGCAAGGAAAGTGTTCAAGCAATGACCTACCTAAGCACTAGTGATTTATAAGATAGATGACTGCATTACTATGATTCTTCAATGGGTAGAACATCTAAGAAGAATTAATAAACGTATATAATGCCTGAAATTCTGATAAAACGTTTTTAAAGTCTATGCAGCAGCATGTTATAAAATAAGCATTTCCTAACCAAACTATGTAACATAAGATAAAGTACTTGATTTCAAGATCAATCAGTAAAATTTTAACAAAAAACAAGTGGATTATCTTTTACTCCCCAGCATATTTTATAGTTATGACCACAGGTTGTTACTCTAAATAACCGACTGAAAACTACTTAACCAAATATTAGGGTATTATTGCACTTTAATTTCGGTTTGCATACATTAAGACTATTGGATGGTTACTCATAAGGATATTTCGGCCCTAAACTGACAGGCTAGTCAGTAACTGGAATCAAATAGAAGTCTAGTCAGTAGTTTAGCCTCGTAGCTCAGTCGATAAAGAATTACCACACAATTATTCATTTAAGCACAGTCAGTCAGCATCAAACTGAGACTTCATATTACTGTGTAATGATCTCACTCATAAAATCTCATCTCAACACATCTAGTGAAGCATAAAGGTTTAAGATAGAAAATGATCAACAGCAAAAGTCGTAGAAAGAGTGGAAGAAGTGATAAAAAATCAATGAAATTCGGTGTGATGATTAGGACGAATATGAGGGTTGGATGGATCTGCCCAAATGACATCAATTCTCAACCATATTGTCTGCAATTTTCAAACACCGATTTACGTTGTCACTCTAGTAGCTTTGCTTATATTTTCCTTCGCTATATAGACCAACAAACAAATCAATATCTAAAATTCCAATGCATTCATCGCAGACTGATGCATACTTCTAACCACCAGAAATCTAAAGGGGTTTGGGTTCTTCATGGTTTCTGACTCATTAGCAGTATGACCCCTTACTATCAAATGAGATAATGTTAGGGCACATAAGGTCTTGCAATAAGTATGTTACAAATTCGTCATCTCATTCGAATGGTCCACTTTCTCCAACTTCTGTCTACTCCAATAAAGCGCGAACATCATCCACTGTTATCCATGAACAATTGACTATATTCTCAACTCTATTGACCCTAAAAGTTACTTCTCCCAGCTAGGACTTTAGAAAATTTATCCTAAAGTAAGTCGTCGGTGAGAACTGATTTGTTCTGGTAATTCGGTATTCCTACCTCTTTCTCAGATGTTCATTTATTGAGTTTTGTCAATAACAGGCTACTTCCAATATTTCGAATTTTCTTAAGGATGATATTGTCATACTTCTACGAACAATCCTCACACTTTATTCATTTGTGACTAAAGGTTTGTCTAACAATAAGCTATTTGAAGATGACTGAAAACTTTTTGCGTTACTTCAGAAAATCACCTTACGAGATATCATGTAATATCAAGTTGGCTACTGCTACTACCTTTTATTCATCATATCTCTATCTACTTTAGAAGGAAGCACAGTCTAAGAGGAAATAATGGTGGAAATGATTCATGTATATGGATACTTAAACATATTAACCAAATCATCAGGCAAATAGTGAATGGAAACTAATTTTTCCGAATTGAACTAACTTTTTAAACTGTTATTTAATATTATGATGACAGCTTACAAACAAAAACATGTTGACCATATTTTCGTTTTCGTAAGTTGTGTCCTCAGTATTCACAGTTGATGATCATCCTTACTCATTAAAACAATTTAACAAAAGCATAAATATATCACGGTTAACTGAGTTCAGTACACTGAATGTTATTTTCTGAAGGAACTAACGTCGAAATATTATAGCATAATTTTTAAATGGAAGTTCTGAAATCGATGGTCTTTCAACAGAATTAATACGTCTGCTCTGCTCTAAACATTTCTAAGAAAGGATTCATCTGTCATTTCCTTCAAACCATCACATGGAAGGAGTACTTCGCAAGATTCACCTAACAGTATTCAGTACTTGGCGGCATTTTCAAGAAACAAATTTACGTCATTAGATCTTCAATCTCTCAACAAAGCGAAATTAAGCATGCGGAGATGGAATGTCCAGATCACGTACGAACTTAGCAAGATCGTCCAGATTGCAAAAGAAATGAGAAGATATGGCACAGAATAGAAGTGCTAGGAATCCGCAAAAGCAGATGGAATGGAAGTGGACTCTCCAAACTCTTAACTGCAGACTCAATAATCTACTCCGATATTGTCACTCAGACGACAACCACGAGCACACTGAGTTTTCGAGTGGCTATCATGATGTCCCCAAGAGAATCAAAGGCTCTCAGGCAATGCGAACCAATCTCCTCCTTCAGGATCATGACGGCAAGATTCGACTTAAAAGGCAGGAAAGTCATAATCATACAATGCTACGCTACGCATCTACAAATAATGCAGACCAAGCGAAGGAGAACGAATCCTACAGACAAATGCAATCAGTACTGCACAAAACCCCACTCCAGTTGGCCACATCAAAATTCATCCTAATGGGTGACATGAATGCCAAACTCGGAGCGGACAACACGGGAAGAGAACCAATCATGGGTCAAGAGACACTCGGTGAAATGAAGGAGAACGGAGAACTGTTTGCAGAATTTTGCACATTTAACGATTTGGTGACTGGAGACAGTGTGTACAAACACAAGGATATTCACAAAGCGAGCGACATAGACTTCACCAGACACAACAAAATCAGATCGACTTCATTTCAATGTTAAGAAAGTGGAGACACACGCAGCCTACTGGACACAAGATCAGATCAAGAAAGGGAACAGATGTAGGTTCACATCACTCACTGCCTAGTTCAAGGAACCTACTTCCAAAATCAAGTTGAAAGCCTTCACAGAAGTTGGTGATAGACCACAGTTCAACAGAAAGTGAACTGAAAGACGAGTCTACAAAGGACATCTTCACATCAGCCATCAGGACAAAATGGGGGACATTCAGCAACATCCCTGAAGAAACCTATGTGAAAGAGCACTAGAACTATTTGAAAGAGACGTGGAAAGAAACCTGCATAACCGTGTTAGGAAGGAAGAAGAAGCAAGACAAGGATTTGATCTCGACGGACACATGGAAGGTGATAGAGGAGGGAGAGGAAGATGGTGAAGCAGAAGATGAACCAACGCATTGCAGTGCAGTGAAGTGCAGTACAGTGCAGTGCAGTGCAGGGATGAACAACGAAAAGAGGAACTGAACACAACCTATACAACACTACACTGGACAAAAAAGTGAAGTAGAGTGTGCGTAAGGACAAAAGACATGTCTACGACACACTGGCAAGTGAAGCATAACAGGCTGCTGGTAGGAGAGACCTGACAACATCATATCAAACAACCGGGTTACTATCTGGGAATAGATCAACAAAAACGAAACCAATGAGGGATAGTGAAGGAAACTTAGTTACCGGTAAAGAGGAGAAACAAAGGAAACAATAGGTTGACCACATTGAAAAACTCTTGAACCGACCACCACCTGCAACTTGTCCATAAAATATCACCTGCAGCCACAGAACTATCATTGAACACAAGAGCTCCGACAAAAGCAGAAGTGAAGTCCTGAACGCCATAAAGTCGCTGAAATCCGGAAAAGCAGCAGGACTAGATGGAATTCCTCCAGAAGCACTGAAAACAAACACAGAGACAACAGCGGATACGCTCACACCACTATTGCAGAAGGTTTGGAAGGAGGGAAGGAAAGGTACCAGCAGATTGGAAGAAGGGCTACCTAGTCAAACTTCCAAAGAAGGGAGACCTGAGTCTTTGCAAGATCTGGCGCGGAATCATGCTCCTGTCCCTGGGCACACCAAACAAAATATTATGCCGCATCATCCTGGAGAGACTAAAAAATACTCTGGATTCAAAATTACGACCAGAACAGGCTGGCTGGCTTCAGGCAAAATAAATCATGTGCGCATCATCTCATCATAGAACACAGCATAGAATGGCAGTCAACTCTCTACCTCAACTTCATCGATTTTGAAAAGGCCTTTGACAGTGTCGACCAAGAAGTAATTTGCCAGGCAGCTGCTTCAACACAACGGAGTACCATGTACCTTTATCAACCCCCATTCAACAACTATAAGACGACACCACATGCCAAGTGATTCACAATGGAAAGCTCAGTGACGCCATTTGAAATGAAGACAGGAGTAAGATGAGGCTGCCGGCTACTATCACCGATTATCTTCCTGACTGTGATGAACTGGACTGGATCATGCAACAGACAGCTGTGAGGAGTGAGAAGATGGGCATACGCTGGCTGGACCGATGAAAAGAGCCTTGAAGATTTGGATTCCACCGATGATTCATGTCTAATGTCGCACAACCTCGAAGATCTACAGGCAAAAGCCAACAAGTTGCCAGAAGAGGCGAGGCAGTGAAGACCGAACTTCTTCCAGGTGAACGTAGAGAAGACAGAGGTGATGAAGATACCCAACAACAACAACAACAACAACAAGCACCAATCACCACCTACGGGAGAAATCGAAAGGAAGTAGTCTCTTTCACTTGTCTAGGCAGCATCGTTTCAACTACAGGCGGTGGCACAGATGAGGACGTCAAAGCCAGGATCGGAGAAGTAAGACAGGCCTTCATTAGCCTGAAATCAGTGTGGAGATCTACTGCACTCAACACGAAGAATAAGATCCGGATTTTCAACACCAACGTCAAGTCAGTGCTTCCATGTGATGGTTGAGAGACTTGGCGCGTTGCGAAAAGCATTTCCAACAAACTACAGACATTCATCAACAGTTGTCGCCTATGCTCACTCGATACTGAAGATCAGATGGATGGCCAGAAGGAATAAGCAACAAGGAACTCTCGCCGGGCAACGAACCAACCAAGAACCCATCGCCCAAAAAATATGCAGAAGAAAGTGGAGATGGATTGGATTGGATCAGGCACACACTGAGAAGGCCGATTGGGGACATCACGCGCCAGGACATGCCGTCGAGGCGAATCCGAATGGGAAATGATGAGTTGGGCGTCCCAGGTGAGGGTGACATGGAGGAGATCATGTGAGGAAGAAATGAAAGCTTGTGGGCAGTCGTGGAGTCAGTTCCAAAAGACTGCAGGGAACAGAGTGCAATGGCGACATGCTACTGAAGCTCTGTGTTCCACTAGGTACCCATTGAAAAATAATAATACAAATTATCTCTTCACTTGACATACACATCAAAATCGGACATTCCAGTGTGATCTTATTGACACAGTTGAACAGTATCGGTGTCAATTTCTCTTACCATTTTTTGAGAATTCCTCGACTGAGATTGTGTTAGTATCTGGTGACCATGTTAAGTCACCATATACGACACCTGATTGTGAATGCCAAAGAAAAGGCTAGTAAAATATTTAGGTTAGTAAAACTAAACTGCAAAGTTGGTAAGAGGCAGTGTTGTCTTCGCAAATCGAAATCGATTTCAATGTGTTTTGGGTCTCACTTAAACTCTGAAATTACCTGAACGATATTATGTTCTCTAAAGTTAGTGTTGCTTCTGAATTATGATCTGTGCGAAAGAATAACTATTTTTGTGCAAGAGGAATTTAACTATCTATATTTTTTGGAAAATAAATATGTGCAAATGGATTAAGACTTACTTAACGATTGACTTTTCTCTTATTTGTAACGTTTTTGTTGAAATTTGCAAAAGATCGGTCAGTTCAACATTAGATTCATTCATCTGTACAGCATGCTGACTGCTAGTGAAAGTTGATGCATCTACATTTGCATGTTTTGCTTGTTTCGATAATCGACAAGATGGTGATGCCAAGGAATTCTGTGTATCTGCAACCGATGAATCGCAGCGTGATAGTGTATTGTCTCTCAGTCGATATAAAGGAAACGGATAATGGAAAATATGCTTTTGAATAACCGCGTTACCATCACTTTTGCTTGGATTTGCAGAAATATTGTCAGCTAAATAGAGCGAATAAACATTCTTATATGTAATGTACCATAATATCTAGGGTAGAATGAATGTAAGGTAACTAAAGGTTATATAATTAAGCTTTTATCTTCAAATGAAGTCCCCAGTTATCAAAACAGCACAGAGCAATAGAAAAAAAACCAGATGAAAACATGAAAAGTTATTAACTACTATGGTATGTAGGTGATTGTGATACGACAAGCGACAATTGTTCGTCAAACAAGTATCAAAAAAACTGAAGGAGACGTATGTTAGACTTAGTGCTACTTTCGTGAAATATAGGAAAACAAAGCATTTTTAATGCTAGGCATATATATATATATATATATATATATATATATATTTCAGTTTCGAGCTCAGCCAAACCAAAACAACTGAAAATTAAATCCAATCTAACAGGAAAACATTTTACTTTTTGTTTATGGATGACATATGTTATTTGAAAGACCATTAAGACCTTGAAACCATGTTAAATTCTGGATCTCTTATAGCAGAACACTTATTTTGCGATGAAGTAGAGACATGAAAATTGCATATCAACTTTTTGAATCTTTGCATTATACAACAGCAACTACTTTAGTAGTCGTCCTAGTATCTACTGAGATAATCAGCTAATTTTAAATGTCCCATGGAAAACTACCTCTCCCACCGAAATAAAGAAATGTGATCATTTATTTCAGTAGTTGCGACGGTGACCTGTAGAACCAATCAGAAAATAAATGCAACATAATTAATGGGATTATGAACAGGTTAATGTTTGATCGCCATACCTTTTTTATAACGCGAACTACAAAAGAAATTGGATAAGAACTTAAGATAGGTGGTAGATGCACGGTGATTTTATGCCTTCACTATAGAGCGCAAATATCATTTTACCACCAAAATAACTATGCAGCATAACACTCTCTTTGATAATTCAGTACAGTACTCATTTTCTCACGTTGATAGAGACTGACAGAACTTAAATTCCATTTCCAGCAGCACAATAACAACTGAACATCTCTAACTTGTTACAATTAGTGGTTACGACGATTTCTCGACTCCTCAATACATTCAAAAGTTTGAAATCACTACTAATTACATAGGTTAATACGTTCCCTAAAAGTTGAGTTCCTTTAAATCAAAGCTCCACCTGAAAAGATGTGGTATGTTTTGTCACGTTCACATCGAGGGTTTAATAGAGAAATAAGTGTTGGTAGTCATACCAATTATCTCAACTAGGGTGAAAATACGCTGAGTATCCGAATAAGTGATTACTGCATGGAAGTAAATGAGTGTCAACGTTGAAAATACTAGCTGGTCACAGGACAGTGAGCTGTTTTCAAAAGTTTGAGCAACGTACTATTAAAAAATATAAATAGCAGAAATATTTTCACTTACACAGGGTAGTTTCCAACCAGCTCATTAGATCAGTCCATAATTGTTGCGAAATTAAACGCAAGATCACTTCAATTGAACTTGGTGGTTGTTTTTTGAAATCAACCGCTGAATGATAACTTCCAAAACACGCATGTTGTGTAATATCTTCTGGTGCTTTGATGTTTTTTGTTGATGATGACTGTGTTATACCGCTGGGTGAGTTCGCCATCTTTTTGTTACATTGGTCTGACTGTGAACGTTTTAAACTACAGTTAGAATTTTGTTTTCGGCTACATCTGTGATGATGATGATGGTGGTGGTGATCGTGACGATGATGTCGGGTATCTTGATGTACTTTAAAGACTATATTTTTCCCATCCTCAAATGATGAATTATGATGACGATATTTTTGTTCATACAGTGAGGTTTTATGAAACCGTTCTGCATTACCAACTGGCTTGTAATTACTGAAATACAAGAAGAAATACATCAGCATCGAAAAGTTCGAGAAACCTATGAAAAGTGAAAGAAACAATACAATCAGTAACCACCTTTATTGAAATATTGGGAATTTGTATTAATTTATGAATAACTTGCATACAGCAGACTGAATTACTGGTTAAATCAGAGCCAAACTGATACGGAAGTGTAGCATAATAGGCCAGTCCAAATCTGGACTTGGGATAATATAGATGAGAGAAACGAAATGAACGAAAGTAAACAACAGTAAGGAAGATTTTTTCAAAGATTAAAGCAGACATGCTTAAAATAATATGCCTGAATCCTAAGTTGAACAATACCGAAACAGAGGTGTGATGCACAGTCAAGTTTGGTCGTAAGTCAGTAGATCCTTAAAATACATTCGACTGAATACTGAATGAGGGGAAACACTTCAGGCTTTTCGAACTAACGACATACTATATATGTATTTAAACGTATTCTGAGAACATTGATGCAACCAGAAATGCAACACTAGATGAAGCTGTAAACCATAGTGATAAAAACAAAGAAATCACGAACAAAAATGAATAAGAAACTAGAGGCAGTCACTAAAGGTTCATGAGAGGAATTTTCATCAATTTTAAATTACTGTTAGAAGATTGAAGAAATGAAAAAATATAGAATCATTGCAATAGGTTTCGGCTTAGAGACGTACTTAATAATATAGCGTATCCATGCAAGAAGGCATTATACATCAGGAAATTCCAATCTTACAAGACCATCTTTTACTGCTTACAGTCAGTAAACATAGATTAGTGTGAGCCTTGGTGATACGGTTAAGTGTAAGTCAACTCACACACTGGGTAACTAAATCGATGATACTAAAGTATAGAAAACGTTTTAGAAACTGTGTTCATAGTTCGACTATGGAATACGAACAACATTATGGAAATAGCAGTGATGTGGCAAATGAAAACATAAGACATTCTCAGCCCAGAGGCCTTATACCTTACACTTACGCTAGATAGCTTGATATGAAAAAATACCTTTCAGAAGACTACTTACAGTTAGACATCAGAATGGGTGGAAGAGGGTGATTCAGTTTTTTATATGTTAGTTTATATCTCTATCTGTAGTTGAGCATCTCACCTGTCACACTTTCATCAACCTCAGTGAAGGTATTCATGCAAATTAAATTTTCAGAGATTTCTAAATGATAAATATCAAGCGTGAGTACAAACATACTGTCCCATAAGCCATGCGATAAAAGTTGAAATCAAATGACACAAAGTGTGCAACATATTTGCGAGCACCAAATATTGTGTAAATGACGTTATCGTCTGCATACCTTTCGCTAAATATTCTTCAAAAAGTATCTGTTAATCACCACCGAATTCCTTAAAAGTTGTATAAAGGGTGCCATTGATTTCAAAGTCATGTAAGAATGGCAAAATCACGTAACCAACTAACATACAGTCTAAGAACAGCATATGAAAGACTAACTGGACCAATCATTTCAATAATTTGAAGTACATAACCAGACATGAGGGTTGATCGGCAAATTAATCTCCACACTGATACATGCAATGTATATGACTTTCGCTAATATACTGGAATTATTGTATCGAAGATGAAGCTGAATGCCTATTAGTAAGTAACTATGGATTCCATTCCTTTATCATATACAGCTACTAAAAGAGAAAAATAAGAAAACTTGATAGCTGTTCAACCGCACATGTCATCAAAAGAAAGTCGGCTCTCGAGGAACAACTAAGCCAGCGATTTGAAGACTAGATGTGAGGTTTTAGAAGCGGAACGCAATTCAATCAACGTGGTTATTAATAAGCATCAGCAAGCTATACTTTTTTCCAGTAGAAATGAAGTGGTACAAGATTCACAATGTGAAGATCAAGATACAGTCAATGTGAATTAAATAAGTGACAGTTGATCTAAGTTTGATTAGGAAGTAGTGTTTTCAGACTGAGATTATCCAAGTATTAGGATTCCTTGAGTTCCTCGACTAGCCACAACCAAGTAAATTACCAAAATAAATATTCAGGCAATATTGAAACATCCGCATAAGAGCCCATAAGCCAATAGAGGTCGAACAATTCGATCCAGTTTAACAACGGAGAAGTACAAGCATATCAACAAATAGTAATATTGTATGTAACTGCTGTGTGGAGGTGTTTGTGGTGTTTTTTTTCTTGTAGTTGTCAACTTGTGGGACAACGCGATCTGCTACAACTTTGCTAGACATAGAAACAGATAGAAACAGTATCATAAACCAACTCACGTAACCAAACTTCGCGATAAAATGTAAATAAAAAGTAGACGGGAAAACGATGAAATCAAATGAGAAGAAAGCATATCAGAGGAAACAGAACAAAAAAATGAAGGTAAGTGAAAATTTGAAACATAAAAACAATGACAACGAGTGTGTACTTTCGTGTGACTGATTTGAGACATGTTATATCCTCCTTAATTTCATCTTCCTTGTTTACTGCTTTATTACGGTATGAGGACATCAGTAGTCAAAAACGTTTAGATTCCTCATATTTTCTACTTTTAACAGCTATTTTTCACATCGGTAAAATAGAATAGAGTGAGCTGCTACTTAGTGAACTCACTCTATCATATCTTGTTAGCATGACATAAAATGGTAAATGCTATCCAGTTCTGCATGATTCCGCACCAATCCAACTGTCCATTTATACAACGAAGGATAAACATACTTGTCAATCAAATTACGCCTACCTATTTGAAATAAAGAGGGTCACATTTTCAGTTATGAGCGGAAATTTCATCAAAAATAATAAGCTCGGTTTTTGACAGTTTAAAAGCAGAATAAGTAGAATAACTATGCACATCATTGTTGAGCTAAGTTAAACAATTTAAATTGTGTAATTGGAAACGAGAACGTTTATTAAAGAGGTCAGCCGAAGTAATGAGCATAAGACAAATAAAAACTTGGTTCAGTGTTATGCCGTTTCTGGGGACTGAGAAAAAAGTTGACTGACATCTAATTCAATTAGCAATAAAATTTAGATTTTAGTGTGGTTTGAGACGCATTATAGCTCATAAAAAGGAGATAGATATACAGTGGCGGTTTACGATTGGTTGATTGGTAAACAGAGTTATCGATTATTTTTTAAGGATAATTATTAATGCAATTAATATTGTTATTGTTCAATAAGAGTTATGTACTTTTAAATCTGTGAATCCATTACAATTTAAGCAATATAAGAGATTATATGAAACAATAACATCTTCATTTTAATTGTTTATAGGCACACGCTTATACAATCATAGACATTAGTTAGAATTAGACATGTGAGTGAACAGAACGTTTTGTTATATAGATAGTCGTCACGCTTTCCCGTAACATGATACAATGATAACAACGATGTACATTAAGCAATTAATGACAGAATGGTAGTTATAGGAATGAAAAGATTAGTTAGATTACATCAGCGCAGAACAAATGCTTAGTGTTATTCTAACCTTTAGAAACTAGATTTAATCTTGATGGATAAACAAAGGATAAACGTATGAATGGATATGGTAAATTAACGTAGGAGAAAATCTCGACATAAGTTCAGTGTCTTACTAAATGGTTTATGTACTACGCAGTCAAGCTGTACTGAGAACAAAACTCTGCTTCTTCAGCTAGTATGATTACAAAAAGATAGTTGCATACCTTTCACTCACAGGACGGCTTAGCGACTGAAGTAAAATGGAGATTTGATTAAAAAGTGGATCTCGTAGTCTAGGTTTCTAGGCAGCAAAGTGGAAAACCTGTTCGGAGATCTCTGATAATTCTAAAAAACTTCCAACTCCAATCATCATCCTCGTTATACAAAGCGCTGTCTGCCTGTAGAGTAAGTCAGATGCTTATAGCAATGCAGAAACTAGCCACAAGCAATAGTAATGTTAGTGAAATGATTCTGAGTGGGGATAACAGAATGCATACAGTTTTGAGACATTCGAGATATTAAGAAAGATTTAGAATAATTTGTGTGCCCCACTGTTACCCATTTTCAGACAAGTCACCTATGATTAGTGTTTCTCAAACAACACATGTTTGTCAGTCAGCTTATTTATTACGGAGGTACAGAAATAAAGGTTTGCTTTAAAATTATTATTGATAATGACAACCATTTTAGATGTCCATAGCAAGGGTAAAGATCGTACAATGTGCTTTTGAAGGCAAAAACTGGATAGTTTATCTCAAACCGTTTTACCTTTACTTATATTTAAGAAATGTGGAGGGGCCTTATTCACAAGAACTTGAGAAAATTTAATGATGCTGAAAATTCACAACTCGCTGCTTTGTGCACATAACGACGGTTATATTGTCTCCTAAGTCCAAACTACAGAGAACATAGCTTATTATCAGGTTTTTTATGGCGAATAAAAGTGGACGAAAAGAAAACCTAAACACTCTCCAACACAAATCTTTATCATTGATATTTCAGTCAGTGATAGTGAATATGTTGAAAGTGTTATTGTGGACAATTTGTTAAACGATTGATTATATGACGTAGAAGACTGCTTCATACTTTCAGAGGAAACATTTTACGAAGGTAAACTTGACATTGAATACACGGGAATTACAAGTACCGTAACAACAACTGATACTCGTTGCATAAGAGGTGCCTATCATGCCTTTGATGTTTGAGGCGGTGTACTGGGCTCGAGTCTAGGTGGGAACAAGAACACTCACTGAAGTGCATGTACATCCAGCTGAAAACCCCAAGTAGGACGAAACCTGCACCCTGGGTCCCTCTGCTGGTCATCAACATGAATATAACACGAAAATTTAGTCCATTTATATGCAATGCACATAATATATGATCACTGAATATCTGATGGATACATTTTCACAGCCAAATCGATTGATTGGGTCGTAAACTTTAGTCGACTTAGATGGCGTGAACCAGTGCTACGCATGCCAAGCCGCTTTTCGAATTATTAATTTATTATTTATTTATTAATTATTTATTTATTTTTTTTATTTTTTATTTATTTATTATTTATTTGTAAAACCATATTTTACAGTATCAAAGTTTTCTTCACAATCATTACAGAAATATTCAGTGTGTATGTAAACTGTATTTAGAGTGCTTCAATGGTTTTCAATCTTTTCTAACCATACAAGACTGTTTCGTACTTAGTGGTGCACCAGAAAGTTTATGAACTACCCTTTATTGAATGGTTGAGAGATTTTATGTGAGCTAGTTAGGTTGCATCTAAACCATTTACCAATAATCATTCTTCTCTTTAGCACTGACGTCAGTGTTAGCACTCAAATGAATCGAATAAAAGTTTATTCGGAAATATGCCTTCTGCACACAAATAACTGAAAACTGTATGTTATGCAGCTTATCACTAATTTCTGTGTAATATGCAGCAAGATATTTCAAGGCAATACATTTATGTGGTAACTGGTACTAATAGTGGATTCCAATAAGCGTTAGCATAAACTATGTCATAGTTAAGATTACAGACAAAGAGTGTTTGCCTTTGCTCAGATATTCTTCTGAAAAGGGAACTTAAGTAGTTGATTTGGACTCATCTTAACTATAATGGTATCAATCTGAGAATATCATATTTTCAGTTCATGTACACATCACAATCAACAGTTTTTACTCAGTGGATTGAAACTGGTGTACTTTGACACTGAAATATTTAAAAAAGTTCATTTGAGTTAAACACTTAGGCCTATTGTAATTCACAATTCTATCGGTTTATTTAATATTGTGCACGGTAACATCCGACGTATGCTTATTCTCAAAATTATAAACCTATTACTTCGGTAATAATGGTAGTATTTTTGGACAATAAATTTCCTTAGAAATGACTGCGTATAAACTAATGAGTGAAGCTGAGCGAAGCTAATTTTGATTCCCATTGCAGAGCTTTGCTTGAGGTGATGTTGAAACTCATTTGAAAAGATATACAAGGGAAATTGTAACTCGCTGTTATTCGTCAAAATATTGAAAAACTACTCTGCTAAAAACACCATTATTCAATCTAAAAATTTAAAATCCAAGTACTGCATCTTCTAAGGAAGGAGCATTGGTTATTCTGCAGAAGTAACTAGCAAAATTAGTACTCATATGCACAAGATACTGGGACTTTAAGTTTTGATTTAAAAGTATACGAACTAATAATACAGCGATTAAAAAGTACAAACCAATTATGATAGGACGTTAAGAGAAATGAACGTCTATCGATATGGCATTATGATCATAAAAATCTAATCATTTCATCAGAGTAGTAGATGCTAGTTTAAAATAATAAGAGACGCATAAATACACGCAAAAAATCTTAGGTACACTCACATGCTTTTGTGCATGCTATTTTCTGTGAATTTTTCGTAGTCTCCATCAATAGCAAAAGTCTCTTCGTCTGCAACGATTGTGGATACAGTTGTAGCTGGTTTATCCCATTCAATTTCTGTCATGTCATTTCTGTAGTAGACAAAAGTCGGTTTGTCGTGTTAATTGTAAGCGCATCATTAAAAATTCTATTAACGGCTTAAGATCTGCTGTTATGCTGTTCGTAATTTTGCGTTTGCTTATACGATCATGAAGTTATTCATTCAAAACTAGCCAAATAAACATTAACATGCAGTGAATGAGAAATATTTTCATGTAATCTATTTGGACATTGTCAGTGTGTCAGTGAACTCACTTTAATGCATTGCCTCAATTGCCTATACCTATTTCGTCGCAGCAGTTATTTTAACAAGTATGATTTAATGATGCTGTTAATGAATTAAAGAAAGAAAGAAATGTTCATGGTTTGATACAGAATCGTGAAAAGTCAGGTAGTTATGCTGACTGGTTCGCATCTCTGGTATTTTCTTAGATATCATTTGACTAAATGTTTTCAAACCGATAAACAAAATAACGAATTTACGGCACTGAAAAGACTTCAAATCTTGTTGAACAGAAGAAATTCGACTGAATTATCACTGATTTGTTTCAATTTGACCTTATCACACTATATGTGTGCATAATTTCCAGATCACACTTGCACTTTTTGAATAGTTTTGGTATTTTCAATATTAATTTTGCCAGTTAGATGCCACGAACTGTTGATTTCGTTTGTAAATACTCCAGTTCTTCAGGATTACATCAAAGTCGTTTTGTGTAAGTTGCATGTTCTTAGACTTACAAAACTGTGTCTACGGATTAGGCTGCGTCGATTAAGATGCTTATTATATTGGGAAATAATCCCGCGAAATACTCGTTCGTGCTAAAGAATATGCAGTTTACACAAAACAACCTCCATATAGCCCTGGAGATCTGAGAATTCTACAAACCAGATTGGCGATCCCTGTGTATGCCATCAATCATAATCACGAAATATCTAAACTATTCAAAAAGGTTCTTCAAACCAAAAGGAAGGACGGATAACGGTGGCATCTCAAATTATGTTGAATTCTAATGCAGTCAACGAAAAAGAAGACCTAAATATCCAACCTACTCGTTACACACACTAGTCATAACTAAAGTGCATGAACAAACAAACAAAGTGAATTTTTCGTCACCACACCATCACACCTATTCACATGTGCACACACACTTACATCTTCACGATAACACTCATTCCTATATTATTACCATGTGATATGATTTTTTGCCACTTTCTATTTAAACATGCGATAATTTGTACAGGTTTTATTCTCTAAAAAAAAAGACTTTCAATAGATTACCAAGTATTTGGAATTTATTTTTCTATCTCATTGGGATTTTACAAGTAAATTTCTTTACATAACTAGTAGTCGTATAGTGTCAGAAGACAGTAGTTGAAATTGACGTTTGCATTGTTATTGTAAGTTGACAGGAATCTTCGAAACAATAATTTAATATGCTGTTAGCTAAGGCAACAGATTCGAGAGTCAGACAGGTCTGGACTCTGATCCACTTTTATACAGTCTTACTATTTCGAAAGGTTATTGTTAAGTAGATAAAAATAAGTATCAATACTAGCACAATAAGCTTACTGCTTATCACTTGAACCATCGTTGTTGATATCCATAGATGTATCTACTGTTACAGATGATCGCTCAGGGAATTTGTAGAAATCTACAAACATAAAGTAAACTTTATTCTGATTCAATTTCATTTGTATGGTTAAGGGAAAAATGAAACAGTGCGAAACTACGAACACTTGGATATAAGTGACCTTTCAGCAAACAAACATGTTATCATTAAAAATGTACTACTTTTGCTTAGCTACACATATATTCATAAACCTAGAAAGACTCTAGTGTATCTGATAACAGTTAGGATCATGCCCCTACCCAATTAATGCTAAAATAGAACAAGCCATAGTTACTTTAATTTGAAAACCTACACACCCCAGGTTATAAAAATAAAATATGAATTTATACTTGAAAGATGGTTCACGCCATAAATCCAACATACGTGGCTTTAAAAAACATGATGGTTCAGTTGTGTAACATATTATTGAGGCAATTAGAAGTTGTATCCAGTCAATTTCAAGCAGTCCACATATATAACCTTGGACTTCATTGAAATTTAGCAGTGACATGTGTACGCACAGGGGAGCAACTGAGTATCCACATACCGATCGCAATTTCTGATCGTAGATAAAAGACATACCATTAGATACAAGAATTTTCAAGACAGCCTATCCCAAAATTAAGGAATTATAGCTGTTCTGCATGTCGTTCATCTCCAAGCACACTAACTAATCTTAGGAAGTCAGTAATAAAGTTAACCGCATAACCTATATATTCAAACACACGTCCATTAGGCATTCCAGATTTAAGAATTTGTAGTTTATGAGCATCCTAACATGCATAAACAAATTTGCTTCGGTAAATGCAGCAGATCCAATTAAGGTATTGAGATGTTTTTGTTCCACAACAAAGAACATCTTTCTATATTAACAAGAAGAC